TGTTAGCTTTCCAGAAAAATATGTTCAACTATCTTTTTCCTTCAAATTCACCTCACAACATTATAAATATTAAAGTTCAAATTTATCAGAGTTTGAAGAGTCATTCATATAATCCTATCCAAAGTACTTACTTGAATTCTATGCTAAACTTTTATTCCGTGCCCCCCCCCCATTTTTATGTGGGAAGGAATATGACTTTTCTATAAACCTTTCCAGGTAGCTTATAGTGATGTGGCATGGACTGCAGATGTCTTATTTTCCTAATAATTAGTGTAGACAGTAATAATGGTTAAGAGCATGGAGCTTGAGGTTAGACAGATTTCATTACTCTGGATTTCCATGCTAGTGTTTCTCATTTCAGGCTACCATACCGCTCACAGTAAAAAATGAGGGGCTATTTTTGCCTGACACCTCTTTCCTAGCCCCATTACATGCTCACTCCTACCTGATAAGTTTTTTTGCAACTTCATAGCTACCAACCTGGTTGAAGTCAACGTCATTTCTTACATAGACTACCTTCGCAATATTTAGTCTAATCTCTTCCTGTTCTCTCTTGTCATCTTCTAATGTATTTTCTCCATAATGGCCAAGATAAAAGGAACATGGTTTGTTTTTACCCAACAACCACTCTCCACTTCCAGTCCTTCCTCCCAAAGAGTGTTCAGATTTGCTCAGATATATTACTTAAGTATTGCTAAATGAGTAAAAGAATAAGTCTAAGTTCAATTACTGAGCTCTCTATTTCCTGAATTTGTAATTATGGTTAATTTGGTTAACCTCTTTAAGCCTCTCCATTCTCATCTTTAAATTTGTTACAATAGTAATATCTAATATGAAATCTTTAGGGGAAGATTAAATTAATGATGTACATATAAGCCCTTACATAGACCCTGGTATGTAATAAGCACCTAGTAAATGGTTGTTAGTGGTAGCAGAGCAATATTCATTGACTTATAATATATCCTTAACTATTGATTTCTCTCTTAACTTTGTGGATAAAACTAACCTACACTACAGAAATGAGAATAGTTCCAAGTGGTTGTGTTTTATTCAAAGCTGTCAGCAATTTGGGCACAGGTTGGATTTACACTCAGGTCTTCCTATTTCAAAATCTAGCTTCTTTCATCTTTAGACCATATCTATCTAATGTGATGAATAGTTTCCTGTATGTTAACTATATTAGTTCAAACTTATAGGACCATATTGGACATGTTATATAAAAATATGAGAACATTTTCCTGTCTTCTTTTTCTGTCTATAATTTTTCTATCCCTGTGTGAGAAGGTGAGTTATTGAACCCTGAACTCAATAACAAAACTGAGCAGCCTCTAAATCCTGAGATGGATCATTTCACTAAGTAATGTCATTTCATCATAACAGATGGTATGGTTTTAATAGGTTTCACATACATTTCCTCTTTGACTAAAAAAAATCCCAGAAAACTACCAATTAAAATAGTTTGAGAATGTAGGCAGCATTGGTGCCAGCCGCCCTTGAGCAGCTGGTCCTTTGAGAGTGAGTAATTTTGCCATCTCATGATAATGCAAAAACATAATGTTTACCATTATCCTATTCTCAGAATACTAATCATATTTTAAAACATTGCTTTTCATAGAAGGGAGTGGCTGACATTTTAGAAAAATTCTGAGGTTGTATCTATTCAAACTCTACTGAATTATTTTTTTTCATTTTGTACACAGTAGACTGCATTGTGTGAGAAAAACACAGCCTAAATCACATGGTTGTTCCTAAATACGTAAATGATGTAGGCAGCTTTGGAACACTGCATACAGCACAGGATGTGTGGTCAAGAGGTCTGGATTTGAGTCTAAGCTCTGTATCAGGGGATATAGAGTCAAGTCATCTCATTTGTCTGAACCTCAGTTCCCCATAGAAAGAGAAGAAACATTGTTAAGATTGGGAGGATGTGGAACCAGAGAGCTAATGTGGAGAAATACATCAACTGTATAAACTGTAACATACTGTAGGTATGAAGCTATCAATGAATGAGTCAAAGATGTGCTTATGGATTGGTTGGAAAGTAAACAGGATGGAATTTTAAATGCTTAGGGCACCTACTATGTGCTGCAGTAGTCTAGTCACTTCCCTTATTTGTTCTCATGTCAATTTATGAAGCATTGATCCTCATTTGTATAGATATTATAATTTTATCAAGAAAGTTACAATGTTGGTGAGGATAGGTACATGACTTTAACCTCATTTTGTCTTTGAGGCAAAAATA